GCAAAAGAGAATTGTTTGCCCCTCTCTGGTCCCTTCTGAACTTGCATATTGACTAACTTGATTTTGCCTAGAAGAGCTGCCAGCAAAGGGAAAACGACTAGGGTCGCATTCCTGGGTCCAAGTTTGATCGTGGAAGTCTTGTGCCCCATAATCGCTTTGCTGAAATTCCACATCGTTGTCAGTCCTGGTTCAGCTCTGCCCTTGTTCAGCAGCTCTAACCAGTGGCAACAGAATGCTAGTAACGATAAGGCATTAGGAACCATATCAAACCCTGCTCACACAAATCTGTGCCCTCCAGTGCTTAAAATTATAGCAGTCATTTCCACCTTCCGTCTAATAATTCTCTCACTGTTGTTGCTAGTGGAGTTGAGCCAGTACTAGCAACAGAAAGAAATATTAGGTGGAACATATTATCATGTTCTTTGGTCTGTTCTTTCACTTCTGCCTCTGGTTAGATGTGGTTAAAAGCTATTGAGGTAAAATATCAATTGGGTATGAAATCTGTTCCCAGCCACTCGGGTCTTTTCTTGAGTAGTCTTTAAACACCGTGATTTTGGCAGTTTCGTAATTGTACGGTCATTCTGAATAAATTATTTATTTAAAATATTACTACAGCCAAATTGCGATTTCAGAAAGTCGACTAAGCTGCAAGGTAAGTTGCACCCCACTATGTTACTTTGCTGATTCATTCTCTGGGTTTTCTCACCTTGCCTAGACGGAGCGCCTAGTAAAAATGTGTGATTTAATTTAAACCTATTGCTGCAAATCTCTGTCCTTGCCAGAAGATGGCACCATTGATGGGTCTTTCAGGAAAGCTTTAAACATGGTAACCGATGACTACAGCATGCAAACCAAGCTTCATCTTAAAAGCTTCTGAGTTGAGCAGTGCAAATAGAGTATCTCCTATATTTTTAATGTTGAAGTGCAGTGAACAGACTATTTTTCAGTCTTATTTTTCGTGGTAAATTAATACACTTGAATATGTTTCCTAATTTGTTTGTTTTTTGGTTTGATTTTTCAGAATTCCCTGTGGACTCAGGACCACCAACTCCATTTGTCCCTCAAGATTTTTTTTGTTTTTTCTTTATATGTATAAAGATTTTTAGTCACTAAGCCACTGCTTTCAGACTGTTACCTACCAGTGCTTAGCAATTGACCGCTCTCAACATTGTTCTTTGCTAGCACACGTACAACATTTGATAAAAGGAAATGCAAATTCATAAGCAGCCCATTACTTTGTCCTACCATTATACTTTAGGCAATTAAGTGATTCAGGTAGGAGAGAGAAAAGAAAGCCACCAAGGAAAGTCTTCATGGAAAAGCCAGATTACTGCATAAAGTATAGAGATAATACTTCACCAAGAAAAGCACCCTCTTTTTGAGGCCAGAGTATAAAAAAATAGTGTGAAGACACTATGCTTTCTTCCAATTAAAACTTAGGTCTTGATATGGTTTTGGCCATTCAAGAAATGACCATTCAAGAAAGCAGCTTTTTCCTCTAACAAGAGGGGTTAGATCTGTCATACTGGCTTAACTCAGTTTAAGCAACTGTATTTTGGCTGCACTTTTCTAGGCTACTGTAATGTCTCATTGAAATTGGTGTAGTTTTGTAATGTGCCTTGCTGCCCTTCTCTCCAAAATACTGCTCTGGAATATGCAAATAACCTATACTATTACGGTGCAGATCTGTTTCCCTGGACCACTTGGGCTTTAATATTAGAAATAAAAAAAGTAATGAAGCTTACTGAATAGTAAATGGCCTCCCATTTGAGTCCTCTAAATTTGATCAGGAAAAACTGGAGGCCATGCAGTAGAATCTTAGAATAAAGGAGTCCTGATATGGGAATTGTGGCATTTCCTCTGAATTCCCCAAATAGGGCATCATGTGCAACTTTCCTATTTTTGGAGGGGAATTCATCATCTCCGGATTCTGCAAAATCATCCCTGACAGGCTGGCCCATATCTCTCAGTACTAAACATACTCTTGTCGAGCAATTTCATTCATAGTGCATTTGAAAGGGATAGTTTACACCAAGGGAGAAGGTGTTTTTGTTTGAAATTCCCAAGGAGGATGCCCCTGCTTCCTGTACAAAAGATACATTTCCCTTTTATGCAAATTAGAAGAGATTTTATTCTGGCCACTTCAGAGACCATTAGCTTTTGAATCCCTGCATGGGGAGGGCACGCTTGTGATTACAATTAATTAGCACTTAACAGAAACTCATGAAGTTCGGAAGTGTTGGGGGGGGAGGAGGTGTCCAGCCTTGAAAGCATTTGTGAAACACTGGACTAGATGATGGTATCTTGTAACCCTACCGGAAAGCCAACCTTGACCTGAAGGCTGTTTAAATCTTTAACAAAGATGGTTCCTCACAAGTGTTGCTCTTAAATGAATTTAAAAAAATGTTAATACAAACTCTTGTCTGTTCATCGAGTTTCAATTCTCTGGTGTCTTTGATGTCTTAACACTTCCCCCCATTCAGCCAGTTTTCCAGTTAAAAAAGCATCTAGTTAAATTAAGAAGTTAAGCTGTAAAGCATTGAAAATATAAATGGCCAAGCCTTTAGTTATACACCATAAAGATGTAGAAATAGAAGGATAAAATGGCTCCTTCCTTTCCTACCCAAATATTTGATCTCTGCAAGTATCTTTGAACATTTCTTTTACTGTTAGTACCAGAATATCTGTAGCATGTGGCGGCTATTACCTACAAAAGACAAGCTGGTCAGTACGGGGTAAAGTCTCCCTATTCAGAGCTAGAACATTATCTTGATCTTTTATCTAGGCTGGTTCTTCAATGAAGTTGGATACAGGAGCTATACCAAAGTACTTCCTTGAATACACAAAGCCAGAGATTAGGTTACACATGACTATGCCAGGACCAGGACAAAAGCTCCTATATTACCTGGCACACTCCTACTGAATTATTAAAGCTTCTCTTCAAGCTGAATTTATTCACTGGGTAATTAGTCAATAGGAGAGAAGCTTTCCATTTACAAAGCTACCGTTGACAGCTCTTGGATCTTTTGTCTTTTTTACAGTAACGTGTTTGCAGAGCAACCGTCTGGAATTACAGTGACCATCAGCAAGCAAGCAGTCCATGCTTGTTTTGAATCTGCTTATCTTTGGAAATTTGCACTAGTAGCAAATCCAAAACCCTGGTAATGCCTGGTGAATAATATTCTCCCCATTTTACAGAATGGCAAACTGAAGCATAGCTTGTACTGATGAGTGAAACTGAGCCGGTGCCCATGGGGACAGTCGAATTCTGAAGTCCGGATGTTCTCTTGGTTCCTGCTTCCGGTTCCAGCTGGACCTATTCTGCCAGTGCAACTTTTACTTGCGTGTTTGGTATTTTGCACAATGGGTGCATCTACACGTGACGGTACGACAACATAGCATCCGTGGGCATCTACACGTGACCAAAACTACTTTGCCGCAGTGACGTCGGTATAGCATGCAGCTATGGCAAAGTAGCTGCTAAAAATAACTTCACCATGTGTACAGTGCAGTATGGGCTGTTACTGCACCGTGATTTAGTACTTCCAAAAGGAAGTACTAGATCACGGCGTGGTAACAGCGTTGCCATAGTGACGTGTCGATGCACCCAGTATGCCACAACCCTAAACGCAGCTCTCCTAAACTGATTCACTTTCTCCAGTGCTTTGGCCCCATCCCCAGGAACTTCGAACCTAGCTTCTGTTTCTCCATATATGGAAGGCAACCAAAGCTGGAGTCGGGAGGCTATTAAAAACTGCCTGCCAAAACTGTTGTAACCAACTGATCTTAAATTGTGGCCAGTGCCACTTCATTTATTCTGATCCTGGCACGAGAAGTATGATAGTAGCTTCCATTGTTATAATGGCTGCTAATTCCTCTTTGTGAGAGCCTGTAGCACTGCTTTGGGTTCTCTAGTACCTAAGTAGGGTTTATTTAGAAATGAGACTGCATGTTTTTCCAGGTCCTGTTATGAACCAGACTGGTCGGGAATGAGATGTACTACTCTGTTAACAATCTCTTGCAGTCTGGCATTCTGTTAACTCCGCTAGCAGGGTGGATGCAGTTTAAAATAACTCCATAGATGAAAAGGCATGTGATAAATTAAGCATTCATTTACTGGTAGATGTTGCTAGTACACCCAAGCTTTTTAAAAATCAATTTGTCACGTTTACTCCTGCATGGGGTTAATGTTCACGTTTATCTTAGCCAATGAAAAGGCGGAAGAAAACAGTAGCTTGTTTTAAAACAGCAACTGTTTCACTGTTTGTTTGTTTGTTTTCAATAAAATGTGGAAATATAGATATTGTCCTCAGGGTTTTGGGAACAGTTAGCTCACCACATCTGCATTTTTCATTAACTTTCTTAATTCTACAGCACTCTGTGAAGTGACAAAACTCGGGGCAATACTAGGAGCAGAGCAGAACAGGTTGGGTGAAATAGGATGTGCTGTGGTTCAGAGCATTATTGAATGCCAGTCTCAGAAGTGAAGTCGTTAACAGGCCCTGAAAATTAATTTCGATCCACACATAACATTTTTTCTATGGGCAGCTAGCAGAGCAGTTCAAAGATTATTCAAAAGGAGGCACCTGATAGACACAAGTGTTATATGTGCACAGATGCTTTAGATTATAACGTATCTCCCTATATGAAACTAACTCAAAATATGCAAGAAATTATGGAAGAGGACAAACAAGCATCAAGGGGATGATGGTGGGAGAGATTTGCCAGACAAAACTCCTTAGAAAAATCTCTTTTGTTGGTGTCCTCTCTTGTCTTGTTGGACAGGAGAGGCTAGCGACTGAAAAAAATGTAGTCTGTATGATTGTGTCAGAGTCTCATCAAAGGCTGACCTAGGCATAGCATCACAATGGTTCTGCCTGGCTTATCCATCTCGCCACCTGAATACTTTTCCTTGGTGCTGTGCTCACTGCTGCCATGACCACACCACTGGGGAGATGAGAGAGAAGATGCTGAACTGACCCTTGTCACCTTCTCAGACCATGGCTCTGTTAAAGGAGAAGATCCCCAACAACTGTCTCCCCTTCAGTGAGTCGTACCAGAACGTACTAGCTACCGTTTTACTCCTGTTGGGACTTCTTGTTGTATTGGATAATGCCATCAAAGTTGCCCTTCTGGTAAGCAAGCAATAGTGAGTACGGGGGTGGCTTCTTCCCTTAAGCTACTAATAACCTCCTTTAACCTGGTGTCCTACGTTAGTGCTAGGGTGTTGTGTGCCACGGGAGGTGGGGTGGGTGACTCAGTGGGTTTAACTTGAATTGGTACTGGTCCCAGCTGTCATGCTCTGAACTCACATGCATGTTTAAACATATAAGGAAACATTTAGTGGTTCATCCCCGGACTTGAGTACTTACCCAGTAATTCAAAACCACAGTGTGGTGTGGGTGACTTGATCAGAGCTGTTCGCGCTCCTCCCTGTCAGTACTGATGTCACTGCCCCACTGTGATGCTAGAAGTCTTTGTGTTGCCAGGAGTGAGGCTGGGAGATGCACTGGCAGTGTTTTACTCGATACTGATATCAGTGTCCCAGATGGCTGGAAAGGGGAGGCAGGGCACACCGTGTCTTGGGGTGACTTGGTATGGGGTCCCTTCCCCCCAGTCAGTACTGACCTGTGGCCCTTATGTGGCACTATGGGAGTTGTGTTGACTTATAAAAGTTGTGAGATATAAAATTGAGGTCTGAGCATTTCTGGCCTTTTTAGATCCTATGTAAAATCCAGAGCGGTAAACTAGTGTGCTGCCAAATTACAGCCTGGGTGACTACATCCTCTCTCTCTCTCTCTCTCTCTTTTGCTCTCGTTCAAAATTCCTCCCACAGTCATTGTTAGATACAGTCTTCACTCTGAAATATTGTTTAATATGCTATAGCATTACTGCCCAGCTGTCACTTTTCATCTGATAGGTGGCTGCCTCTCAGCAGTGAATGAACCTAGTTATTGTATGAGAAAGATGCAAGATAACTTAATGACTAGTAACATTTGTAGTTATATCCATCTGGAAAGGGTAATGAGATTTCATGCTGTGAGCTCATGCTGTTGCAGGATCGAAAAGGAATTTCTTTCCCCATAGTTGACTGGGTGTTTATGATCTTAACACTTTCTAAAAGCATGAGATATTGGCCAAAGTGAGAGGAGATATATCAGATTAGATGGACTAGTGAGCTGATTGGTATCCTAGACTAGATAGATGCATGTTCTCTGCTAGTACTGTATAGCAAATTGGGGTGGGGGGAGAACCCCGGTGTGATATAGAAAGATCCATGGGTGCCTTAGCCAGTACCACCGGTACGCTGAAGACATTTCTTTCTACAGCTATCAATAATGTCCATCAATTACTACCGAAATATCCCTCCAAGTGATGTACCCCAGGGACAATGCCTCTTAGAGACATTCCTGCATCCTGACTGCTGGGTGGCAAGAGTGGACGGGCAATTCCTAGTGAGACTGCCCTGCAGTTTTGTGCAAAATCACAATAAAGGTTGTTTGCCCAGTGGGTGCTGAGTCTTTTGAAGGCATTTGCACTTGTGGATCATGTGAAATCGTTTGGGGTTATTTCAACAAACCCCAACAAACAGCAGCGTGTATCCTAATCTACACAGCTCATGCATGGATTTCACAACTGATTTCAATGAAGTTCCTGGTTTGGGGGGGGGGATGGAAACGGCATTGTTAAAATCCTTTTGCGCCTTTTAAAAATAAAAATGTGTGTTCTTTATTTGGAGGTTTTTTCATTTTGAAGTTTAATTTTAAGCAAGAAAATGTGAGAAGGAAGTTCAAATCTAAATGAACTTTTAAAAAAATTGGAAATCGTTTCACTGATGTGATCTTAGATTTTTGCTTTATGACTGTTTTCAAGATTTTATCTTTTCTTCTCATGGAGATGCAGTTCTCAAAATCTCAGACATTCTCACAGAAAAGGAGAGCACTTCCTTGCCCAGTTTTATTCTCTGGAGTTAACTCCTGACTCAACTAAGATTGCTGGCAAAACTCCCATTCAAAGTACTGGGGATTTCAGCACAGAAATTTAGGGTGGTAGGGAAATACCAATATGGAAAAGGTGATGCTAATAATGATGGCTGTTGCTCCCTTCTTCCCTTCTCCAGATTTGGAGATACCTGAGCCAGTTTCTGAAGAGAACCTTCTACTTTTTCATCACCAAAGGTAAACAGGGACCATAGTGCAACTTCTACTCTCTAAACTGTGAAATGTTTCAGCCAGTTCAATTATGACAGAAGCCCTTTAAAGTTTTATGTTCCTAGGAGCCTGGTTTACCCTGGGTTCCCATTCACTGTCACTGCTGCCAATGGTGCTCCACCAGTAGAAGCAACAATGGAAAACTCAAGGAAAAATCTCTAAGGCAGCTATAGCATCTTTGTTCTACTTGCCTGTTCCCCCTTTCTAACCCTTACCCATCTCTCACTAGTGCCCAGCAGAAAGTCTGGGGTGAAAAGAGCCATATTTGACTGACTAGGAGCCACATGCATTTGCTTGGATAATTCAGCTCCAACACAAACGTCGTGCTTCCATTAATTCATTTCTTTGCTCTTTCTTCTTTCCCTGAAGGAGATGGATGTCTCAAAACACTGAAGGCCCTTTACTGCAGCAAGAAACGCAGCACATGGAAGGACTTGGTGCTGACTAAAGGCTGCAGGAAAATGTCCAGTCTGCGCTTCCACTGCACTGTGGATCCCTTGCAGCTAACTGTGAATGTGAACCACCTCAATGGGCTGAAAAACCATGATACCCAAGGTGACAAGAAGAGCAAAGGTTACCAAGGCCCTTGGCCACCAGGCCACCAGAACACGGATGATGACAAAGCCAGTTGGTACGGACACAAGCAGCACCCACAAGCAAACTGCCAGCCTAACCAAGAGCAGAGTTCCCAGGGCTGGGATAGCCAGTCCAGCTCCCCCAACTCGGACAGTGACAGTCCCCAGCCGGTGTGCCCACCGGGATCCACGGTGTCACTCATGCATTCTCCCTCTGGCTCCCGAGCACAGCTTACAAAGACCAGGTGCAGCTTGGCTGACTGGAGCACTTACGCACGTGACCCCCAGAGTGCCACAGGGGATAAACGGCCTGGCTTGGACAATGCAGGAGAGGCTATCCAAGGACAGAGTTTCCTGAATCAGCCTGCTGGTCCCAGCACGGAGGAACCCACTGCTGCCCGTTCAGAGTGCTCAGCTGCACACGTTCGCCACCAAGTCAATGAGACACCATTCATCCCCAGCCCAATCCTGCCAGGCCCCAAGCGGGTGGTGTACTCTGCCTTGACTCCCAACCCAGAATCAGGAGCCTGTCTCAATAACTGTCCCCACTCAGCACCCCCTCAGAGGAGTCCCAAACACCACTCCGGCCCTAAATTGCACCAAGGCCTCCCACTGGGCCAGAAAGCTAGACTGTATGTCTATCTTGTCAACCCGCAGCCTCCCCATCAGAAGCGCACTGCTGTAAGGGCACCCCACGATTTCTCAGCATCTCGCACTGTCTTGGCCAAGGACTTGCTGGGAAAACAGGCATCTCACAACCGTCCCTGGGAGGGTTCCAAGCAAGGCTCAAGAGGGCAGGGCATCTGTGATCCTCACATGCAGCGCAAGAGCATCTGGGAAAGAAAGCGCCAGGCTAGTGTTTTGCAATCGAGTCCAGGCTATGAGAAGCTGGTGGGAAGCAGCAGTGGAACCAACATGACCCATGAAGAACCTTACTGCCCCAAGCCACCCATCCTGGTAGACAGAACAAGGGGGAGTTTGGCTTCACCAGCCCCAAGGAGCAGCACCTGAAGGTACCTTTGCTTTGGGTTAACCAAGTAACAAGACTTCCCTGCCTGGCGTGATTAGGATTCTGACTCCAGGTGAACCTAGGCAGTTTGGGACTAGGCGGAGTGAAAAGTAGAACGGCCTTCTCTGCTCTTTCATAGTCAACTTTGGATGTGTTGGGTTCAATAAAAAAAAATGCGTGAAGCTTCTGGCATGCAAATTCTCTGTAATGATTGGTAGTGGAGATAAAACCCAGGGGGCCTGGCTTCCTCTTTTAAGGGGCATCACTTCTTCAGTACATACATTTTAACCACACCCAGGCTTCCTAAAAACACACTGCATGAAGTTCCTGAGCCTTTAAACATGACCTTTGGGGATTTCTCTCGTAATCAGGGAAAAATCCCATTTTCATTTGAGAGCATATAAATATTTGCATTGCGACTAAAATTGTAACTAGTGTGGGCCCAGCAGAGAAATTTCCACATGCAGTCTAGGAAGATTGGAATAGAGTTTGCAGTGGAGTTGAGAGAAAATCATTCTAATTTCCTCACAGCCCCCTCCATCATCAGATTGCCTGGGAAACAGGTCTACAGCTTGTTCCTCGGCCATCACAGTGTGTGAGAGACATGCTTGTTAAGTGTCCTTCATTTCCAGTGATATCACTGCTTTTAGTTCCAGAGCCAGAAATTGTTTACATCCTGAAAAAAAAAGCCCAACTGAAATCAGAGTCAGTTTGACTACATAGTTTAAGTTTCATACATGTCTAACCCTGTGTACCCTTTATCAGTGGTCTTTATCATGCACTGCATCTGTCACTGGGCCCCGGCAGACTGAGAGCCTTGGGGAGAGCTGGGCTGGTTGCAAAAGCAGCTGCGTGACCTGCAAGTACAGTTAAACTCCAATGTGTTCTCACTCCTAATGGCTGCTCTAAAGAGCCTTCAGAATGAGTATTTCAGTAATCTACTACAAGGTCTCAGGAGCTGAGCCTTGTATGGCACTGTGACAGAGTGCCTGAGGAGCTCTGTCACTTTAAGGGCACAGAAAGAAGAGCAGCTCCCCATTGTGACTCATAGCACTTTGCAGAAAGTGCTGCGAGTTGCAGTGATCCCCCCCGGACCCAACAGAAGTTCGCTGTTGGGTCCAGGAGCAAGATTCAGGTGCTTGCTGCCAGCCTGCAGCCCGGTCTTCCAATGACACTCCTCCCTGCCAGGTCAGATGCTGTTTCAGAATTGCAGGGAGCAGAGGGCTCTTGTTTCTAGGGTTCCCCAGTCAGTGCTGGAGATTGGAGACCCCGACTTTGGAAGGCTCCAATCCACCTACCCCACCTTCCAGCACCAGTTTTAAGAACCCCAGACCGAACTCCCTCCCGTTCTGAAAACAGCAACAGGCTGGGAGCTCCCCAGACACAAGTTACAGAACACGCTCTGTTTTGGAGCGTGTTCATCTGAGCCCTCATGCAATGAGGGCCCAGATTTTTGTGGGATCAGGGCCTTTTCCAGTGGTCTGCAGCCATTCACGTCTGTTTGGTTAAGGCTGTAGACTGCCTTCTGGGGTCAGATCAGGTGAAAACGATAACTTCTGTCCGAGCCCTAGGAGAGCCAGAGCCCATCTCACAGCCTTGCAGGACAAACAGGGCACAGCTGGGCCTGGGTTGCCATAGTAACTGCCAATAGAATTAATTAGGGGGCACTTGCAGGTAACCTAAGGAAGTCTGTTGACAGGAAGAGGAGCAGGGCCCGAGGAATATAAGGCAGCTCCAGAGGCTGGCTAGGCAATTTGGCCAGGGTCTGGGGCAGCTGAGCAAGGAGCTCTGCAAAGGTGCCTGAGAGAGCTGGGGCTAGCAAAGGATTTAGGCCCAGGACTGGAGCAGCAGCCTAGTTAGAGCTAGAAGGGCCTGTATGTGTATTTGGATTACAATTTTGAGTCTAGGGAGGCTCAGAAGCCCTGACCCAGGGGGCAGGGTTTGTGTTTAAGATCATGATTTCGGTATACTGGGCTGGCTGCTGAGGGATTGTCCCATAGTATCCCAATCGCTCCAAGGCAGGGCCATGGTCCAGGGGCCCAAAGGTCACTCATTGGTCACAGCTGCAATGTGGGGAAGCCTGATACTGATAGACCTGGAGGTTTGGGGGGACTATAGAGGTGGTTAAGGAGGTCCCATAGTGCCCTGGAGGGGGTGGCGTTGGGGGTGCTGCAGCCTGACACAGATGCCCAAGAGGGGTGACCTCACATAGAAGTCTGGTCCAGTCGGCAGACTAGCGTGAAAGGACTCAGCTACAGCAAAAGGATGGAGGCCTGAGGAGAAAGGCCATTGACAGAAAGAGAAGGCCAAAGCCTGTGGCCAATGACAGGCTCACTCTTAGACCCTTGGACACCCTCCCTCCTAATAAATTTTAACATCGAAGACATGGCAGAAGAGTAAGGGAGGTGAGGGCCCTTAGAGTAGGAGCCAGGCAGGGTTTGTGTGGCTACCTGGGAGCATCACGGCTGCCCCTAGGATCCCAACCTACTACAGTCACACTCAGTTCACAACAGAACAGCCTTATCTACCCGAAGAGGTCCTGATTGGTGCGGTGCTACCGCAGTGTAGACAGCTATTGGATTGCATGCGTTTTGGATGCAAGAGCATCCATTTTGGTCCATTTAACCAGCACTGAGCATAGTGCAGGTCTCATCCAGGACTGAGGCTTTGAGGCACTACTTTTGGGCAAATTATAATAAAGATCTAGTCACTAACCAGTGGGGAAACTGCCTGACACAATTTCAGCAGTGACCTCTTTTCTTTGTGCAGACAAGACCTAAGGATCACTGTCTGCTGCCAACCAGTCCTCCCTAGGAGGCAGAAGGCAGCTATAATTCATGCAGTGAGAATCGGAGAATAGAGACTCTGGCGAAAAGCATTTTACAGCCTTGTGTTGAATCCCTATTTGCAAAATAACTCTGAAGATAAGATGTTCTCATCAAAAGACTCCTACTGCAGCAGCAGGCCTCGGCCAAACCGCAGTCCTGATTAGGAACATCGTCTGGCTGAATTGTTTCATTTAAAGCGGCCCACAAAGGATTTTTAAATGTCTTGTTATAGCAGCAGTTCCATGCTGAATGAAGGTCACAGCAAGCTCAGGGCATCAAAGCAGAACACGGACAAAGAGAAAGGGCCTTGGATACTGTGTTTCCTACCAAACCAAACCGAATGTGTCAGCGCAGCTTCCCCTTGAGATGCCCCAACCAGCCTGCCACTCACAGCTGGGATGGTGGCTGGTGTCCAGATTCAACATGAGCAAAACTAACAAGCTGGAGAGTTCCCACAGTACGTTCCTTGCTCCCCAGATAACTACTCTAACTGCAGACTCCAAAAGGATGTTCCATCCTGTGTTGCAATAACCAGTGAACAGGTCTCCATGACAAACCCGAGAGCAGAGCCCCAGACCACAGAAAGTCTGGCGAAGTAGCAGCATTAACTGAAAGGGGTCAAGGAATCACAGTAGCTCTGCTAAGCTTTAGAAATAAAAATAGCTGGTTTTCTATGAAGTCAGTGCATGCCTCCAGTGGCTTTTGGAGCAGATCCAGGCATGCTTTGCTGTTTTTTGTCTCCACCCCCCACCAAGGGGAACCAGGGACAGAAAGGAGCTTCAAGGACAGCCCCACAGACTTACTTCCAGGATCTCCCTTGGGTGGGGGAGATTTGTGCACAAAGTGAGTGTGTGGCCTGGGAGAGGGCATCTGAGGATCAGCAAGGAATCATGTCTGGGAAAGGGCATCTGAGGATCAGCAAGGTTATTCCAGCAAAGGGCCTGTACTCTAGGCTGAAGCTTGCCCTCACACTTGCTTCTTTTTACCACGGATGCCTGCAGAGGCCTGGCTCCTGCTGCCATAAATTGTCCCTTAATCCCCTTGAAACAGTGTTTATTCATAAATGGATTCCCACCTGGAACTGTATCTAGTTTGGGGGACAGTCTATTTTGTCAAGAATCTGTTCCCTTTGCCCACCTCTGAAATCCCAGGCCTGATGGGGTTGTTTGGTGGGCTAGGACAGGACATGTCCATGTTGGAGTGGAGTATTTGTAACAGATGGTTACGTACAAGATAGGATGTTTTGGCATGTATACTTTATAAATCCCAAGTGGAAATGAAAGGGAAGAAACCAAAAAGATGTCTGTAATTATGCTAAACTTCCTACAACTGCCTTGCAATTTGGATGCAGGATTACACCTAGCAAAGCTGACTTTTCTCTAAGCCTCAGTTCCCTACATCTGTTACCTCCAGCTAGCCCTATTTTCTCCTTTTACTGTCTCCTTGCTGACCTGTTTCCACATGGGCCAATATGATAGACGGCACTTTCTGTATCTCCTTAGTACAATCAAAATGGCAATTGGCTACAACAATACATCTTATTCCTTGGGATTCCCTTCACCTCACTCTTTATATATTGCTGGTCTTGGTAACCTCCATGGGGTAGGACCTTGCATCTTTGCATGGGTCTTTAGCACTTAGCCCAAAGTCTAGGTCTCCCCGAACAACCAGACATCATTTTCCACTGGGGGTGCCTCCTTCCTAGAGAAGCTTCAAGCTCAGTCTCCTTAGTGAGTTTTGCTGGGTAACATGCACTGATATAGGTCTGTAAGGGTACTAGGAATATAGAGAGCAGCAAAGAGTCTGCAGACTATGAGCCCAGTCACACATCATTTAAATTGGTTGGAATTTTCTCTTGCCATCAGTTAGAGCAGGATGGAGTCCAAGGGAGGGCAGGTAATGGAAATCAATCTGTACGGTAATTACATCATAGTAATCCAAAAAGGAGCCCAAATGCCTTTAACAGACATAAGGTAGGTAGAAGAGGTCTGACTTGATGATGGAGCACCTGAACTCCAGCATAGACAGTCAGTGCTATGGAAAGACAAATGATGGCATGCCTTGGGGGTTTTCTGTACCAGATAGTGTAGTGAGATGGAAACAGCTAGCGACTCTCACACACTCTAAATCAGAACGAGTCACGCCAGACCTGTAGATTTCAAATGTTGACCCTATTTCTCAAAGTGGCCCCAGTTTCTCATTCCTAGAGTTAACGTGGGGGATGCTCTTCCTGAATTAAATATGGTTCTGTCCGTGCTTTGGGCATTGGACATTTGATGTGGCCTTTCAGGGGAGAACAATGCCTGGAGGAACAGCCTGCTCTCTCCTTAATCTTTTATGAAGCCAAAGGTGTGTAGAACCATGGAGCCAAACCGCAAAGTGGACACAAGGGCAGCCATGCAGTGGAAGGTTTCAAAGCACATTTTTTTGTCTTGAAATAACTAGCTTTTTGTGGTAATAAAAATATCTTTAGAAAACAGCTGAGTCCAGCTCTGTTGTTTTGAACTCAGATCTGGATGTGGGTTGTAGTTTAGCAGTTTTATTGTGGTGTGTCACTGGTACAAATGCTTTGGTGCTCTTTTAATGTGGCAAGAAACGCTCTTGTTTCTAAGTAGTGGCCTTGCAATTACTACATAGATACTTTTACTAAGGACAAACTTCTATCAACAGCCTCTGGCATGAGCCCTCTTCCTTCTAGCCACACATCGCATCCCAATGGTAAGGTCTGTTCTTTTGGTTTCCTTTCGTAAGCTCTTAGCAGTGTGATCAAACTGTCCAAAGAAGGGTGTTGACGAACTGTTGGAGCAGTCGGGCATAGATTTGAGAAGTCAACGTGCCTGGCAATGGATCAGCCAACAGATCTGTTCTGATGGCTGATCTGTTTTTTCCCCTGTGCTTTCCTACAACAATCATGTGTAGAACCAGAAATAAAGAATTCTCCTGGGAAATTGCTTGAAGTCCTGCATGCAGTCAACCTGGGACTCTCTATGGGTGTGCCTACCTGGCACAAGGCAGTGCTGTGGAGAGGCCTGAGATAGCTTGGATACCGGAGGCAGTGTAGCTGTGTTAGCAGGGCACTGAGACAGACTAATTAGCTGTGATGAGCAGGACTGATGTTGCTTCTGGTAACTGGCCCTGCATTGTTTCTCCCAGATCTACCCCACACGCAATGAGGAGGAATCTCTTTTCTCAGGCCAGGTACAGACATCCCACTTTTACCTGTATGGCTAGGTGCCGGTGTTTCCAGGTGCCCAGTGCAGGTGTTTCTGAATAGTTAGGCTGCTTGCCTTGCTCCTCAAGCTGAATGGCTTTAGGGCTAGGGACAGACATTACACATCAACCAGCTTAAGTGATCAGAAACTGGTGTAAACCTAAACTGGTTTAAACCCGTAACTTAAACCTGTGTAAGTGATCAGAAACCGGTTTAAACCTGTAACAGAACAGACGTTCAGCGCACAGAAACCAGTTTCAAATGCCCAAAACCAACTTAAGAGAAACCTGGTTGAGTGTTGTATCAGACTTAACGGATTGAGCTCAAACCGGGTGATGCAATGTCTGTCCCAGACCCGTGATGGGGAGTTGGTTGATATCCGTAGCAGAAGTTCAGCTCGCATAAATTAACTTAAAAAAGGGCAAAACCAGGTCTAAGATTAGCTCCTCTGGGCAAATGGGCAGTGACCTGAACACATCGCAACTGCGCCATTGACAGAAAATGGCATTGGCGGTGTAACAGGGTCGGCCACCCTTAGCACATTAAGTTACATAACCCACAAACGCGCAGTTGCCATTCCGGTGTTTAACCGCGTGGCTAGCCAAATTCACGTGCTAAAAGTCGGTCGGGCACGGCCCCGGCGTTTCCCCCGGTTCCTATGAAAAACGTCACAACATAAGATTGATTTCACCTCGGTCTTTTCTTTTTACGACTGCCCGCTCACAGAGGTGTCGAATCGTTTGGTTTCATAGACTTTAGGGCTGGAAGGGACCTCTCGGGGCTGGAAGAGCCGAGCACCGCTTCCTGCTCACCTCAGGGCCCGACTGTAAGGCGCGCGCCGCCCCGCGAGGCCTAGGGCACGGCACGGCAGGGCGGGCG